ATACGCCTACGGATTCAAGGAACGCTACCTGCTCGTTTCCGCCTCCACACTGCAGCCCCGCTAGGGCTAAGGCGGCGGGGCCTGTATTGATGCACTGGCTGTGGTACAACTCCTCTCAGAAACTTAGGGTGATTCTTGTAAACACTAACTCCTATTTAGGGTCCTGAAGCGTGTTGTCAGTAAGAAGTCTGATATGCTTGTAATGCATATATGTTCCCAGGTTCTAGTGCACTGTGCTGGTTGGAATCCCCCTTGAATTGATGTAGTCAGGTGCTCAGCATTTTGAGACATTTTGAGACAGATGTGTTATGTGAACTGAAGATATCACCATGACCGTGATGAACACAAAGGCAGTTTTCGTTCTTGTCCATAAAATGCAATTAGTTGATTTCTGTGGAGGCATCGACTGAGTTCTCGGCGCTGCCCTTTCAGTGAGAAATACTTAGTACCTAATGCAAAAGCATTATAATTAGACCTGAGAGCGAGTGTGGTGAGAATAGCGATGCCTGCTTGGGCTCCCCCGTGTCAGGTCCTCCACCTGCGTGATGACTTCATTCCTGTTGCTGTTCCCTGTAACTGATGGACCCGCCACAGTCATAAACTAGCAACTTAGAGGGAATTTTCCCGTTCACATTTTGCATGAGAGGAGTTTAATATTTACATCAGTATCCACTGTTGAATGTGATTATTCATCATTATTTAAAGGCAGTGTCACTGCTACTGAAAAAGGCAATCCCTTATAGAGGATGTTTGATTTAAAAACAAACACACACCAAAATTCCACCCTTTATAAAAACGGTGGATAAAGTTCTGACTATCCTGTCTGAATCCGTTGGGTCCCAGGGCCATGAGATGCCCTCTCCTGAGCTCAAGTCCAAAGGCAGGTGTCCCAGGTGTGCGGGGGCGGCTTCCATCACTGGGCTGGGAACACTTTTCCAGGAGATGCAGCACTCTGAGCCTCAGCCGGGGGCAGAGCCGTGGGCCCCGTGCAGCTGCGGCCGCCCACATGTGGGCCAGGCTTTACAGCTGGCATTGAGGTGGACAGGCAGAAGTCATTCCAGCTGCTTCCCTCCCAGAGAACAAGAGAGACTTGGAGAGGCCGGCTCCCTGACAGGAAGCAAAAACCTACACGGAGAGTTGTGAGCCCAGAGGGCCTGTCCAGAGCCTGCTGCCGGGGTAGGCGGGGTTACAGGGAGCAGGCTCCAGGAAACCGCTTCCTCAGGCTGTCTGCTGTCCTTGGCTTTCACATGGCCCTGGCATCAGGCTGCCCACGCTGCCCTGTGAGGAGGTGCCTGGGCCTCCTGGCCAGCCTCCTCCGTCAGGTCCAGTTTGCAGCAGAAGCCTGGCTGGTCCCTTTGGCCTGGCCTGTATTTTCCACATGTGTTGTCCTGGCCAATTTCCGCCATCAGCAAAGTCCTTTTCATCGCGTCATCAATCTAACGGAGGGAACAAATGCACAACCCACAACCCACAGAGTCGAAGTTCATGGATTTGTGTTGGATGGGAGGGAAGGGAAGGAAAGTTGATTCACATTCAGAAAACACGGTGTTCGCTGGACATTCGTTGATGGACTTGCGTGTTTCGCCCTCGTGCTAGGAGTTCGGGAGGCTGCCCTTGTCCCTTCTCTCAGATGACATGCTCTCGGGTTAAATAGTCTCTTTTTCTAAAGCAAAACCGACTGCTCTAAGCGGTCGGACATTTCTGGACCTGCCACTTAGCTGTTCTAGGGCGTGTGGAGCAGGGACAAAGGGAGAGCCCTGATGTGTTTCTTAGTGACTCATTTGATGATGACACCATTGTTTGAAGGGTTGAATGTTACATAATCAACACTGTATCCCCTCCCCCTCTCCTCCCCCCCTCTAACAATCTGGGATTTTCCATCATTTTGTCAACCTTCCTGCAGGCATGTTGATTTTTCCACTAGATTTTTTTGGGCATGTCCCAGGGCAACCCAAACTCTCCACTCCCCAGATCTTCAGATCCCCGCTCCCTGGAGGGCCTGGGAGCAGCTGAGTGAAGCTGCTGTGCCTCCAGGGCAGATGGACTCTGAGCTGTGCCCTGACAGCCTGGCTCAAAGCTCAAAGCTCAAAGCACAAAGCACGCAGAGGGAAGGTGTTGGCTGCCCTTCTTTCTTGTAATGCAGTTTCCTTCACTTGGACGTTCAAAAGCAACATGTCGCCTCCTTTTTTCCAAAGGTCGCCCATTGTCATCGTTTCCCTCGTATGTTTCCATGTCATTCGGCCAAGAACACATTGCGTGTGGCCATGGAAGTTTTTGACTCGCCAGGGTTTAGAGATGGCTAGTTGAGGAACCTCCACCATGGCCATGCCCAGAACTCAGCCCTTTGGTAAGCCAGTCTCCTAGGATACCCTGGAGGCACAGGCTGAGGAAGAGGACTTTGGAAATTAGTGCAATAAAGTGGGTCACTGAAGGTCACAGGATGGCCAGGAGGAATTCTCGTGACATTTCTTTGCTTATTAACTTTTTTGGGGAAATTGTGCTTGAGGTTGATTCAGGAGGTTGTAGACTCCAGCCATATTATGTGTTCTTGCTATGAACATGGTCTGCAAGTACAAGAAGAATTGAACATTGAAGAGATAAATATGTACGTGGGTACAGAAAAGGGCGACACATTTGTGAATCTGCAGATTTTGATACCTCGTTCTTCCCACCTACCTGCATACATCAGCTTTACAGCTGTTACCTCCTATATGCACTGCAACTTTGTTTGCTTACACTATCTGCCTTGCTACCGTCCCAGTTAAAGCCACCATCATCTCTCACCACAGCTAATAACTTTAACAAGCCTACCACATCCATTTATAGTTACCTCCTGCACAGAGCAGCTAAGGTGTCTTCTTTATATTTTCCATTTTCTAAATGTGGTGAAATAAACATAAGACAATTTGCCATCTTCATCATTTTTAAATGGACAGTTATGTGGACTGTTGTGCCCCCATCACCACCATCCATCTCAGGAGCTCTTTGCATCTTGTAAAACTGAAACTGTCCCCATTACACAGCAGCTCCCTGTTCTCTCCCTCCAGGCCCTGGCACCCACCATTCTACCTTCTCTCTCTATGGATTTGGCTCTTCTAAGTCATTCATATCATTAGTCTTTTGTGACTGGTTTATTTCACTTAACATAACGTGAAGGTTCATCCATGTTGTGTATGTCAGAATTTCCTTCCTTAAAAAGGAATTTCTTAAAAAGGAATTTCTTAAAAAGGAAGGAAATAGTACTGTAGTGTATGAATAGTATTGCATTGTGTGCATATACTACATTTTGCTTATCTATTTATCTGTTGGTGAACACTTGGGTTGCCTCCACATTTTGTATAATGTGAATAATGCTGCAATGAATGCAAGAGTACACATACCCTTTTGAGACCCTCTTGGGTATATAGAAAACTCATAACAGTGAACATCAGCAACAAGAAAACCTCAAACAGCCCTATGTAGAAATGAGCAAAATGTTTGAAGAGACATTTCTCCAAAGAAGATACAAAAATGAACAGTAAGCACATGGAATAATGATTAAATATTAATAATCATTAATTAACCATTAGGGAAATACAAATCATTAGGGAACATCATTACTCATTAGGAAAATATAAATTAGCATCATTAGGGAAATACAAATAAAGACTACAGTGTGATAGGGTGGCTCTTTTCCCTCTCTCCTCCCCCATCCCCCAATAAAAACACACCCAGAATGTAGTAAGTGTTGGCAAGCTTTGGAACTCCTGTGCGCTCTTGGTGGGAAATTGAAATCATGTGGCCACTTGGAGGAAAGCAGTATGGCAGTTCCTTGACAAATAAAAAATAGAATCACCATAAGGTGATCTTCTTAATGTGGTCATGTCATTCCCCTGCATCAAACTTTCATTGACTTTGTAGTCTACTGAGTATACAACTACAACATCCTTCATACACTCCTGGCTTACCTTTTCAACGTCATCCCAAGCAACTGGCCTCTGGCACTCTGCTGTAGCTTCAGATCTTTTTGAGGCTAAAATAGGCCAAGTTTTTCCCCCTCCCCCATCATGACCTTCATGGATGCAATCCCGTTATCTAGAATCACCGTTGTCTAATGTTAATGGTCGTTAGGATCACCTGGATTCTGTGTTAGAAATGCAGACTCCCAGGTCCACCTCTTACAGGAAGGCTGGAGAATGGCTGGGAACTGGCATTTCCAACAAATTCCAGGTGATGCCGATACAGCTGGTCTGGGGGAACCACACTTTGAGAACCATTGGTCTCTAGAATATTCTTCTCTTTTGAGCTTCTATATATATCCTTTAGATCTCAAGTCAAATGTCTCTCTCTTCGCCTAAGGGAGGCCTTCTCTGATTTCTCCAGACCAACAGGAATTCCTGTTAGACGTTCACATTTTATCTTCTCCATCTCTGAAGCCCTTTGTAACGTTTTGGACATTTAATTGTGTAAATTGTTTTTTAATGACCGTATCTCCTTCCAGAATCTGATCTCCAACTCCAGGAGGAGGGGGTTACTTCTGCCTGCTTATCGGATTCCTTGCACATAGCAAGCGCTAAATAATTATTGGTTGAACGGATGGATATTATTTCCTTTTCATAGGTATCATTAATCCTCCCTGTGAATTATGAAGGATAAATAGGGACTGTGGTGGAATTAGTAGAGCTATACAGAAAGAATAAGCATACTTTACTAACCAGGGGTGTAGGACATCCTAGGCAAGAGTCAGTTTTTTTTAAGGGGCCTAGTAAACTTTACCTGGCCCTGGGAGGCTGTTCGTAGAGTGATTTTTCAGTTTGCCTTCTCCAGACCACTCATGTCCTATTCTATTTGATGGGTGGTTAATCACCCATTTAGTTATTTTTTTAAAATGGAGATATAATGGACATATATCATTATATTAATCTGGGTGTAGAATATAATGATGTACTCTTTGTACAATACTGCGGACTGAGCCATCACCTACTGAGTTTTGATTCTTCATGTGATGTTTTCCCTTACAGATATGGAATGTGCAGACGTCCCGCTACTAACCCCAAGCAGCAAAGAAATGATGTCTCAGGCATTGAAAGCCACTTTCAGCGGTTTCTCCAAAGAGCAGCAAAGACTGGGGATCCCAAAAGGTACGTACTGTCCTTGGGAAAGAGGCTGCGAGCAGGCTTTGAGGGGAGGTTCGTTTTCCCACCTGCAGTGTGAGGCAGGCAGACGTGGCTGCAGCCAGCAGCTCCAGGGCGTGGCGGAGTCTGTTGGAAAGTCGCCCACACGTGCTGACCTTCTCCATCTCCCGGGTTCCTCGCTGCCACCTTGGTTGTAGGGCGCTGTTCCCAAACATGTTTGCACATTAAATGCGGGATCTTAAAAAAAAAAAAAAAAGTCCCGAGGCTGGGCCATGTCCCAGATCGATTAAATCACAATTGCTGCAAACACCAGTGTCTTGGAACCTCAAGTGATGCCACAAACAGACACTTTGGAAAAATCACGGTTTCAGAGCCGTTCCGGGCTGCCGTTGGGTGAGCCCCCTGAGCTCCGTTTCTTGGAATGTCCCGATGGCTCTGTTCTTGCCCGTGCGCTGTGGTGCAACGTGTTTATCCTTGGGTGTTCTCCTCTGAAAGGGTGTATTCAGGAATGTGAGGGGACTGGGGTTGTCAGAAAGGAGAACTGACCGGGGAACACTTAAGCCTTCACGCAGCAACATTTCCTGAATCGCTGCGAGCAGGAAGAACACTGTGCTATTGAGTAAGAGCAAGGCTGCCTGGAGAGCGGTCATGACAGGCCTCCAGCCCTGTGGGAACCAGGCCCCGGACAGAGCCTGGGAATGGATCTGCACCTTCCCCAGGTGTGCTGCTCTGCCATAGCCTCTGCCCACAGCAGCGCCCAGCATCCTCTTAGGGCCACAGGCGGATAAAGTGAATCCCCACCAGCCTGCTCCGCTGAAGGGGTGACCTTGAGAGCAGGTAGGTGGGCCCTGCAACCTGCCGCCATCTGAGTTCTTCAGGTGTCCTGGCTGGTGTGGCCACGTGAAGGCTCGGGCCACGTGGGAAGATCATGCAGAGTCTGTGCTGTGGAGCTGGGCAGTGCCAGCAGTGTGATATGGATGCACTTTGCAGGGGGTGTAGTTTAATACAGGCACCTAACCATGTTGTTCTTACTAAGTACCATTCCAGTAACTGACTGTTGCTAATTGCTATGGTTACTACCAACCATAATTGGCTAAGATAAAAATAATTAAGAATAACAGTCTCAAGTACCCTGTAGGAGGAAAGAGCAGGGAGAGGTGAGTGTAACCGCCAGAACAAACTTGACTTCGTTATTATTGCTCTTCAAGAGCTCATCTGCTCCGTGTCCCGGGCTTTACAAAAAGTCTAATGGGAGCCCTGACCGGTTTGGCTCAGTGGTTAGAGCGTCGGCCTGCGGACTGAAGGGTCCCAGGTTCGATTCTGGTCAAGGGCAGGTACCTGGGTTGCGGGCACATCCCCAGTAGGGGGTGTGTAGGAGGAAGCTGATCGATGTTTCTCTCTCATCGATGTTTCTAACTCTCTATCCTCTCCCTTCCTCTCTGTAAAAAAATCAATAAAATATATTTTAAAAAGAAGTCTAATGGGAATCGGGCCGCGAGATGGGACAATTTGGAAAACTTGTCTGCACGGTGGGTAGATAACATTCTCTCTGTCCGATGATTGTAATCTCCCAGCTGGCGAGCTGAGGAGGTGGGGAGGTTGAATGCGGGGAGGCGGAAGGTGCCCCATGACATGCATTTGCAGGCTCGTGCTTCCCGGATCTTTCAACCAGAGGACATCCTCAGCCAAGCTCGGGTCCTGGGCGTCCTCTCCGAGGCCTGGGCTGGAGCTCGGGGCCTGACGTGCTGGGTCCTCCTGTGCTCTCTCCCCACAGACCCCCGGCAGTGGACAGAGACCCACGTGCGGGACTGGGTGATGTGGGCTGTCAACGAGTTCAGCCTGAAGGGCGTGGACTTCCAGAAGTTCTGCATGAACGGAGCCGCGCTCTGTGCGCTGGGCAAAGACTGCTTCCTGGAGCTGGCCCCGGACTTCGTTGGGGACATCTTGTGGGAACATCTGGAGATCCTGCAGAAAGGTACCTGTGTGTGGGTGGGAGAGGCAGGAGCCGTGGGGGGCGGCTGCGAGAGTTCTTATCACAGTCCTGTGATATGGCAGGTGAATGCATCCAGGTACCAGGCAGGCGAATGCATCCAGGTACCAGGCAGGCAAATGCATCCAGGTACCAGGTGGCGGGACATCCATGCCATCCCCTGGGGGTGCCCTGTCTCAGCCCAGAGGGTCGAAGGCATGCCAGGACAGGTGCTCCATCGACGTTAGTTTCTTTTTCTTCTCTGTATTGGAGGTGCAGATTTTAAGCTTTAGCGAGATTGTGCTCCTGAAGCTTCTTGCAAAATGGTGAGCCCCATCCTTATCTCAGACTCATGACTGTTTCAAGGAGCAGAGCTCACAGCCGGCCCGAGGTATATTTTGTCCCCAGTAATCCCAGTGCACCCTCCCTTTATCCCCGGTCCCACGGTACCCGGCCCTGCCCTCCAGGAAGCTTAGTGTCTCCGAGCTTGTTCATGCCACAGGCTCCTGCCCACTGGCCGGGTTGGAGCGGCAGGAGCTGGCCTACCTTTGCATCTGGAGCAGGAACTGGGGTCACGTCAGGACACGGTGTTGCAACCTTGTAATGACATGGCCTCCCCGGCTAGTCTCTTCCAACCTTTTTGGACCAAGTGACTCATGTACCACAGCCCTGGCTGGGGATAGAAACAGCAGCAGGCGGCAAACTTGGGTGTTTTTGCGCTTATTTTTCTGAATTTCTTCTTAAAATAAATGGCAGTTACCAGCAGTCAGCGGTGCCCTCCAGCTGACTGTAAGCCTAGAAGCCGGCCGCCCTCTGTGACCCAGGCCCACCCTTTCCCTGTGGTCACCGGCTCCGGCCCTTGGCGGGGACGCTGGGGGCAGGGAGCAAAAGCTCGGGGCTAGCACTTTTACTCCGTATAATACCTTCCTTTGTCTGAGAATATTTTCCACTCTGCCGTGCTCCACAGGGGCCCAAATTAGAGTCCTCTGGGCACAGAAGTGTTATCCCTCTTTCCCCCTTCTCTTCAGCTTCTGCTGAAAAATAAATAAATACACACGGGCAAGAATGCGGTGGCTCTTGCCCCGGCTGCCCTGGCCGGGGACTGGGGGCAGCCACACAGCCTTCCCAAAGCGCAGACAGGTGCCCCTGTGGCTGCACACACACCCACTCACACCTGTTGACGTGAGCGGCCTGTGGATAGAGGGAGAGACACGGTAGGCTCATCACAGGTCTGATGTGGCCATTGCTCCTCACCCGTGGGGCCTATCAGACCGTGTCACCAGATATCTTCTGCTAACACATTCCTCTACTTCTCGCCATGGCGTGGCCAGGGGCCCTGGAGTGTCAACCTGCCTCTGATCACGGTTATAATCAATACCTATATAGCACCTCTTTGCTTTCCTTTAAATATGTTGCCTTAAGGACCTACTGCAGAACAAAAATCTAATGTTAACGGAAGCATTTTCTTTAACGGTGGTCTTTTTTTTCTTTTTTCAATCTGATCTTTCTCTTGCTTTCTTCATTGAGGGAGTCTGTCACCTTCCCTAGTCACTGAGAAGTATTGACTTCGTGATACACATTCTAAAGCATTTCTGATTTGAATATTTCTGTCCATTTTTATCAATGATCAAACCTTCTCCTCTAGAAAAGAAAAAGAAAAAATGAGAGAAGAAAAAATCAAAGTGCTTTAAAATACGTTTTTCCGTTTGGATTCCCACCGCAGCCCTGAGCCACGGGTGGGCAGGAACTGGTAGTGTCCCCATCTGCCAAGTGAGGAAAGCTTAGGTCGCTTCCTGGTCAGTCACTTCCTTGAACCTGCGCCTTCGCAATTTAATTTCCCGCCCTGTGTCCTCTGTATAATAATATGGACTCACAGGGGAGCTTTTGGGCCCCAAGAGAAGCTAGTAGACCTAGCTTCTTGCAGAAGAGTAACAAGGGAATTCAGGAGCCTGGGGGAATGAGAGGCTGGACCTAGCTTCTTGCAGAAGAATAATAAGGGAATTCAGAGCCTGAGGAAATAATTGAGTATGTCCGAGGGCAAAGCTGGATCCTCCCGCCCCTTTTCTGTTGAGAGAGGCAGTGAGAACCCTCTGTCTTCAGGCCCTTGAAAAGCTGAGCGAAAGGTTTCTACGGAGGCTCAGTGATGAAACTGAAGCAACACAGCGCAGAGAGAACATAGCTGCTCGGGGTGCGGTGGGGTGGGAGGCCAGAGGTACAGGGGATGTTTCAATCTGATAAGCCGCTCAAGCAAAGTGTAATCACTTTATCTCAACTGGGAACTGTTTTTCTGTGCAGGCATCAACTTGTTTTCCCAGCAGCCTCTGCTCCCAACAAGGCTATCAGATACCCGGGGAAAAATCCCAAGCACCCCTCTCTGTGCCTGATTCTGGGAAATAGAACCAGACCGCGCCACACGATGGGCAGAGGCCGGGCGGTTTGAGTCCAGGGTAGCCGGGGGGCCTGCAGGCTCCCCTTAGTTCAGCAGAGAGCCTTTCTGGGCTCAGTTACCTCCATCTGCATTCCTGTCTCCTTCCTGGGGAAGTTGGCTCCTGGCAGCAGTTTGGTTAGGTGGCTCTTCTGTGAACACACTGTTTCACCCAGCGGTGACCTTCCTGGCATCCTGCTCCATAGCTGGGCCTGAACTTGAAGTCTGAGGGCGATGGAAAAAAAGCACACAACCAAAAGCAGACCTCTGTTAGAAGAAATGGAGGCTGTACTATCTACCTGCCTGAAGAATTTTTAAAAAATATATATTTTTTTGACTTCAGAGAGGAAGGGAGAGGGCAAGTGAGATAGAAACATCAATGATGAGAGAGGATCGTTGATTGGCTGCCTCCTTCACATCTCCATGGTGGGTGTCAAGCCCTCAACCTGGGCATGTGCCCTGACCGGGAATCTAACCATGACCTCCTAGTTCATGGGTTGCTGCTCAACCACTGAGCTATGCCGCCCAGGCTAAAGATGGTAATATATTTCTGAACACCTCTGGAGCTGATCAGAGTGAGTGGTGGGGACTGATTTTGGTACCTGCCCAAGCTGCCCTGTAGCCTTTGATGCAACTCTGGTCCACGCATGCGTCAGAATGAGGGCAGAATGCCTCCCTAGCTCATAGGGATCGCCCACTGGTGCTCTTTCCAAGATACGAAGTGCCCAGGCTAAAGATGGTAATATATTTCTGAAAACCTCTGGAGCTGATCAGAGTGAGTGGTGGAGACTGATTTTGGTACCTGCCCAAGCTGCCCTGTAGCCTTTGATGCAACTCTGGTCCACGCATGCGTCAGAATGAGGGCAGAATGCCTCCCTAGCTCATAGGGATCGCCCACTGGTGCTCTTTCCAAGATACGAAGTCCCCTCTCGCAGTCACTGAAATAGTCAACTCAGCCATACTTTTGTGATCTCAGCCTTAGATAAAGCCCCAGTCAGGGTGGGCTCACAGCACAGCTGGGCTAAGGAACACGCAGGTTTCCTAGAAGAGGGGCTGAGATCATTGTGGTCCTTGTGTCCGAGCTCCTTTAGGGCCAAGCAACACTCGCATGTTGACCTCTCTGTCTCGCCCCCTCCCTGTTGTGTTGCAGAGGATGTGAAACCCTATCAAGTGAATGGAGTCAACCCCACTTACCCAGAATCCCGTTATACCTCGGACTACTTCATTAGTAAGTTCACCGGCCACCCTTCTCCCCTCCTCCTGCTCACTGGGGAAGGAACCCTGTCCCAACTGAGCTCAAGGTCCTTCATGGTAACTCTATGGCAAACCATATTCCCTTACCGCAGACTATTGGGTATTCGTTTTATTTTTCCCCGCAAAGCACAAGGCTTCAGCCTGTTTGCACGTTGCCCTGACCTGCAAACTCCTGCACTTACGACCTCCCGCTGATCTCATCAGCCTGAAAGTCGTGCAGAGAGCTGCGGCCATTCCTGTTGGAGCCTGTGCCCTGTGGGGCCATCGGAGGGAGATCGGGTTAGGGGTCTGGTCATGGCTCTTGTTCTCTCCCTTTTACGCGTGGATATGACAGTGTTTTTTCTGAAATCCTCCCTCGAGAGTGGGCCATGCAGCTTCAGATCTGTCCCAGATCTGGCTTTGCATCTCTCACAGAAAATAAAACCTTGTCCCTTCTCATACAGGACACCCATCTGTACCAGAGAGGGGAGGAAGAGTTAGTGTGAATGCAGGGCTCTTCTTACCTGATGGTGTTGCTTCCAAAGGGACTCTACTGCCGCTTCATTTTTGTTTCATTTTCTCACTTTATTATGATTTTTCTTCTAAGAACAACATAAGTTCTATGGAGTAAGAGCATACCAGGAGCCAGAAATGTTGGTAGGCGTTTTGCATATATATTCTTGTTTGGTTTTTATTACAAGGCTCCAAGCAAGATCACCATCATCTCTATTTTAGAGATGAGGAGATGAAGCCAGAAAAGGGAGGTATCTTGCCCAGGGCTCTAGCCATTAAGAAGCTGAGCAAGGTTAACTTGCCCCGAGGCCCTTCTCATTGAAAATATTTTCCTCTTCCTCCCTAAAGTAGTCGGCCTGTTACACACTGTGGGGCTGGTGTCAATGGGGAAGAACTGCTTGTTTTAGGTACAAAGCTCTCCCCTCTTTAATGCCACCCTTGCTCTGTTTCCAGGCTATGGTATCGAGCATGCTCAGTGTGTTCCTCCCTCGGAGTTCTCAGAGCCCAGCTTCATCACAGAGTCCTACCAGACACTCCACCCCATCAGCTCCGAGGAGCTCCTCTCCCTCAAGTATGAGAACGACTACCCCTCGGTCATTCTCCGGGACCCTCTGCAGACAGACACCTTGCAGACTGACTACTTTGCCATCAAACAAGAAGTCGTCACACCAGACAACATGTGCATGGGGAGGACCAGTCGTGGTAGGTCAGATTTCTTCTCCAGAAGCTCTTGGTTGCCAAGAGTCTGCTAACGTTGAGAGATTTTCAGGTCTGCTATTTCCCCCTCACTATGGGCCCTGGGGATTCCTGAGTTTCATTCAGCCTTTCCATCTGAGACTGTGTAGATAGGAAGGACTTTCCACCATGGAACTTTAGCCACTTCCATCAGCATGACAATGACCCTGGGTTCACGGTAGAATTGAAACCTGGCAGGATGACCAGTCACGTTTTGTATTTGCGTAAGGCATTTTACCAAGTAATAACTAGTTGGATGTGGTTGCTGTCTAAGTTATTTATTTATTTTTTTTAAAGAGGATTTTGCTTAAGGAGGACACAATTGAACAAAAATGGTTCAGGGGACCCTCCTGAAAGCTTAGTTTCACATTGCCCTGATGCCCCAGAGCATTCTGGGTCAGACTGCCTGGAATCTGAATGACATCTGCTGCCCAGCCCGGGCTTCTGAGCCGTCTCTGAGTTTGGGAAGATGCAGGATGGTTAACCAGTAGTTTATTTGGGACGGGTCATCAGCAGCGTGGTGACAGTGCGTATTCAGCTAGAGGACCGAGGAAAGAGGTGGCTGGAGGCTTCCTTAAGAAAGTGTCCTTGTTGACATGACTTATGACATGGATAAAATATTCACGGACAGTGAACTAAATGGTCCAGAATCGAGCTGGTTGACTTTCTAAAGCAACAAAAGTGAAACACACTCGGATTTTAAGATCAGGACATGAACCCCCGGAGGGGCAGCCACCCTAGTGAAGTGTGCAGGTGGTGTTGTTGCCCAGACAAGTGCAGTCCATCAGAAGGAGGGACTTGTTCCTCCAGGAAGAACTAGCTGAGTTCTAAAAAGTCTTAAAGGACGACTGTTCCCATAGGTAATGGGAAGGAATTGCAAGCAGGAGGAGGAACAGCAGAAAGCCCATCTGAGAGCTCAGAGGCCTTGGCCAGCTGGCCTCCTGGGGAATTCTGCTCACTGGTCACCCTGAGACTCTGAGGCACTTGGAGAGGGGCAAAGGCATCTTTGCTTTGAAGAGCCCCCCCCCTTCGGCATCCTGGGTCGCACACCTTGCCATCTTCTTCTAGTGTTCGGGCATACACTTCCTCCTGGCAGGCCTCCGGGCAGCCAGCGGGCCTGCACAGGGAAAGTCCCCAGCAAGATCAGAACCTGTACTCTCTGCTTCGAGCCCCAGGCTGCTTGTGTTTCAGACTGAAGGGGATGGGTGGGATCAGTTTGCCTTCCCCTTTCTGACTGTTTATTTTTGGGTGCATGTCTATTTAAATACATACACAAATGGGCCTGTGGATCCTTCCCCCACTTCCCCGGGCAGGTCAGAGCCTTCACACAGCTCGCTTTCCTATGGGGCTTTTCTGTACGTCTATGTGTTGAGGCCGGGCCTGTGGGTTTGGGGCTCGGCCATGTTGTAACTTTGGGCAGAGCTGCTGTCACATGCTTTTCGGTTGCATCTGGCTTGGCCTTTGTGTAATTGTCTCTGCTTCTCCTTCTCTTGGTTCTTGGTTTCTGTCCCCGCCACCCCTGCAACCCCAAACTAATAACTGTGGAGCAGATAGTGACCCGTACAAAGGGCGTGAGGTATTTCTCTCTGGCCTCATGCTCCTGCCCTCACACCAAGCTTCAGACCACACAGACTTGGGGGCCAGACTGTCCTGCCCACGGCTGCTTTCTGCACGTTAGCAGTGCTGCAGACAGGACGTGTTCCGAGGGCTGACTGAATCTGACGTGGTGTGATTGGTCCAGACTGGGAGCATCACTCTCAGCTGGTTATTATGAATAAAGCTATTCATCTGCTGCATTAGAGCAAACCACGTGCTTCTCTGCCCCACCTCCTTAGACTCTGAGAGCTGTGATTGTGCCAGGCTGTTCAGGGGGTTCCTGGGGGGCCACCCTATCTACTGTGAATGCTCTGAGCTCTGCTTGGCGGAGTCAGGTCTCTTGGGAAGGACCTCGCTGAGACTCAGGAAAGTTAGCCAGTGGACATCCTTGAGGACATGTGCGTCCTTGCATCAGCCCAGTAGCACAAGCGAGTGTCTAATCTAGTTGGATTCAGCCCCATTTTTGGAGAAAATGTCCCGTAAACAAAGGTTCCTCGCTCCAGGATTGTGAAACGGAGCTAAAATGAAAGTAGCTCACTGCTGTAAACCGCAGCTCTCAACGGAGTTGCCTCTGGCTCATGTCTGGGAGGATGCTAGAGAGTGGCTATGTCCAGGTTAGTGTCCTGCTCGCTGGGACTCCTGGGACATGCAGCTGTCTGCTTGTGGAAATCCCGGCCTCCGTGCCTTCCCCCCAAAAATGTGGCTGATAGGGATAGAATCATTTCAGAGAGACTTTAGTATGGATATGCCCTAAGTATCGGGGACTTGGTGGGGTGTTCTCTATGAAAACATACATTCTCTTTTGTAGGCTTTTGGTGTGTCTGTCTCGCAGAGACATTGAATGACCCTTCAGACGGATAGCTTTTTATGAGATGCCATAAAATGTCCTGTTGTGTTAAAAAGAGGGTATTGCATTCTGGCTGCGGGCTGTTTTCTGGAGTCTTTTCATGTGGATTTCTAGAAGGGGCAATTCCTTCATTTATAAAGAGTTGTGAATGTGACAGTGGACTGGGTAGGCAGGGCCCTGTAACTCCATGAAGCTCTTCAGTTTGCCTTCTGGACATGACCCTTCTTTGAATGGATGGTTGGAAGAAGGGCCAAGAAGAAGTAGTTAAATGACTACCTTTGTGTCATAAGCAGTATTGGAGAGGATAAGAGGTTCAGGAAATCTACAACAGTGGAGTATATAAAAATTACATATTTAACTGAATACCCTTCTTCTGGGATTTTAAAAAAAAATTAAAATCCTCAACTTAGTTTTTCCTTAGTAATTTTGGGTTGGACACCAAAATGAAATATTTGAATTTCATTTTTTTTTTCTTTAACCAATCTCTACTATTAAGGAAAGGGAGAATAGGCCCAAAACACACTAGTATGGGGTTGTGTTGGCCAACCTTATTCTGGAATTTAAACTTGTAGTCAATCAGCCAGCTCTGAGCAGTTGAGGGTTGACTTATAGGTATTTCTACACACAGATTTGTCACATCCTTTGCCTCGTGACTTGTGCTGAATCGAGGTGGCCATTCGGTCACCCAGGATTTAATTTAGGGTGCCTAAAAAGTTTCTGGAAGTAGAACATAGGAAATATTCCTGCGAACCTTTTCAAGCTCTTAGATGCATTTTCCTCCAGTGTTTGTTTGTTATCCTCCCTTTTTCAATGGCATTTTTTGCCAATGGAAATTTCTCTTGGAGCGATTATGCAATGATAGCAGCTGTTTACAACCTGGCTTGGGAAATTAATGAACTTGCATGATCCTGCGGTCAGTTAAGAATGCTTTAAGCAACTGGGAGAGTAAAGGATTTCTGATATTGCTGTGGGTCTTAAGAACTCTTTCATCAACTCCTTTGTTTTTTATTGCCCACGCTTCCCCCAATGAAGTACACATTTCAAGTACAAAATTGTACTTGGAGAGAATGAGCAGCGTGGATTTCTGTTTAGAAGAGTGCCCGTATTTTTTTTTTCTTCTTTTTTAATTCCCCTGGAAAAAAAGCATCTCATTGCTTCTTTCTCTCTTTGAAAAGACATAGAGGCAGTACTTGTATTTCATTTTAAAATAGTATTTGGAAAAAACGCTAAGAAAATAGCACTTCAGCTCCAAGGTCAGGGAAGGTCAAGCTGCTCTTAGTCGAATGGAATTTTTTTCTTATGACCAAACTATTTTGCCAAATTGGGCCTTTGGAAATTATCTCATTGGCTTGAGTTGGATTAGGGAGTTGAGTCGCACTGCTTTGATTATTTCTTCACTTATTCATTCAGCCCTAAGGCATCAACCAGAAACCCCCAAGAACATGTGGCGAGTCTCAGCTTTTAGATTTCTGGCTCTAGGGTTCTTGAGGTCCCAAGCACCGCTGTCTCCCTCTGACAGGCAGGAGCAGCCCGTGGCTAGGAATCTCCATCCTGGGAGCTGGAGAGCAAGACAGCACCGTGCAGGGCAGTGGCTCTCACACTGCAGCCAGCCCAGCCCCTCCCCCCAGAGCCACCCCACAGCTCCCATCCCCCTTGGCCTCTCCCTCCTTCCATGCCTCCTGCGGGTCTGATGAGCGATCTGTCCTCACTCAGAGGGTTTTTACAGTTGTCTTTTCCCAATCCCTCCTCCCCTGCCCTCTTCCTACCTCCTCCTTCACCTCCAGGTAAACTCGGGGGCCAGGACTCTTTTGAGAGCATAGAGAGCTACGATAGTTGTGACCGCCTCACCCAGTCCTGGAGCAGCCAGTCATCTTTCAACAGCCTGCAGCGCGTTCCCTCCTATGACAGCTTCGACTCCGAGGACTATCCAGCCGCCCTGCCCAACCACAATCCCAAGGGCACCTTCAAGGACTATGTGCGTGACCGTGCTGACCTCAACAA